GGGGCGGACGTGCTGATTACACCCATCCACCTGACAGCGTCCTCATCCCTGAATCCTTCCGCAAATATACTGGTACGAACATCTTGGGTGCTGCCGTAAGGCTGCTTATTATGAATTAAAGCATAACGTTATTGAAATGCAGAGAGGTGTTCGGAGGTTTGTTTCATCAGAGCTGGAGCTACAACAATCAACTTTGACGAGGTCGAGCGTAGGCGAGCATTTTCCCACATGAATACATTCGAGCACATTCGAGTGGCCATTATGGGCCATTTAGCAAATCAATAGGTGCTAAAATCAAAAACAATTTTCTGGGTGGATTGTCAGTGGAGTAAATGAAAGTGAGAAATGTCTAATATTGAACACTTAACAATCAATGTGTTGCACACTTGATGGGGTTTGTTTTCAACATGACAATTTTTCTAAACTATTATTCAAGTCAAAGTCACCCCCCGGATCCGTCCGCCGTCACCGCTATTGACTCAAAACGGCATCTCTACAGGAGTCCTTCACGTGTCTCAGACGGACAGCAGTCAGAGGAGGAGTAGCTGTCACCGTGGCAACAGACCCCCATCCACGGCGACCCCCCTCGAGTCACATTCAACATCATCTTTAGGAGCCCTCCAAGGCCCCAGCTTGGCCGTGATAATAGTTTCCATGACGATGCGGCATGCTCAGTGCATCAGTGCCAGCTCAGATAAACAGTGATCCTTTACAAAAACAAGAAGGTCATTACGGCAGCTTGTCAAATCAATGCTGAGAGTGTCCCGGCTGATTAAGCCATCCTCTCTCAGCTCTGACACTGTGTCAATAGTGCCGCGCCGTCTGAGCATGGCCAGATGATTGGAGTGAAATGCCCATCAGTCAGAGAGCTGAGCCGGACTAATGATTCCCTGTGCTGCCTATTAGAGCTACATGACAACTCAATCCTGCACTAGAGAGACAGAGAGAGAGAGAGAGAGACACGAGAGACAAGAGCGAAAGGAAAACAGTGACCTTGTTGCATTATTTGAAACTGAATTAAATTGGCAGTAGCAGTTAATCTTTACCTGAGGCGATTAACAGAATTTAAGAGGAACAACAAAAGCATGGCGCATTTGCCATTTTGGCTTTCTCTTACTGACATTTTGATTTCCTTCTCCATCCATTCTTCTGGAAGATGATGATTTATCATTAAGGGAACAGGAGAGAGGGGAGGATCATCTACATCATAAATCGCTAGCATAAAATATGCTCTCGGTTCGCTCTTTTAATTTGTTTTAGTGTGTCGCTCCGCGGCCCTGTGGTGAGATTTGTGTAAGCCTCATCCAATTGACTTATCCATTTTGTCAGCTGGGATTCATCCCCCTGCGCCCCGCTGGTGACTGCAATGCTGAGCCGGTGAGTCGACCGGTGCTCTGTGCAGAGACGGGCAAACGTGTGCGATCAGATAGCTGGAATCGCACGGCATTAAGCGCTCTCGCTTGGGAGCTGCCTAATTGCTTAGTGTTAATAGAGCACACTTAAACTCACTAATCTTGATTTACTTTTTATCAGACAAGACGACTAAGATTGAGCATGCACACAAAAGTCAATGGTCTCCTGCAATATCGAAAAAGAAGTCTCGAACAATTATTTCACTTCAGGCACACATTTTCAGCCAAAATGAATTGTTCTTAGATATGAAGTATAACACGTCAACTTCCCAAAACTTATTCAAACAGCATTTTGGTCATTATTTTTACCTAATATTAAATTACATACTACCTGGTAAATTAATAAATTAAATAATTGTAAAATACAAATGAATGTAATCACACCACAGGACTATTTAAATGAACTAGAACAGAATAGGATTATAAATGGCATACTTTTTTTTTTTCCAGCAATCCCCCCTTATACGTTCATATACATTTTAAAATGTGTAAATTTACATTGAATAGTTTAGTCTATTTATGTCAATTATTATCTTTGACATCTCTGATCATTTTTTAATCATTTCACCTTGTACAAAATGTATAAATATGACAATTAAAAATTTGAAGGATAGAAAAAGCTAATTCCTGTTCTGTTGATATTGTCATATTTCTGCATTCTTTCAGTACGAGATGAAAATGGCATTAATTGGGATTTACCTGCCAATGGAACTAATAAGCAACATGTTACATCCACACGCTTGAGAGATTTCACATGAAATTACTCTCAAAACAAATTAATGATGATGATGATATATAAATAAAGGCAAGCCATTATTTATACACGCCTGGTCAATCATTTGCTAATATTACACGATTTCGCTCAGTGTGAAGACTGGGAGGAAAATCATGACTAATTTAACATGACATCAAAAATGGCCTCTCCTCTCAACAAACGTTTGTTGGCAATGGTCAATCAACCTCTTTCTCCACATGCATTAGTCTGACTGAAACAGCAGAGAGAAAACAAATCCACAGGGAGTAATGTAATTGTCTTGTAGAGCAAGCTTTCCTCAACACAAAAAACAATCTGAAGAGAAAATGTGTAAGGCGAATCTCTCCCTAACAGTGCCATACCATTAAAAATATGTTATTGAGAAAACACTAACACACACTTCAGCATGGAAAGAAATCCATTACCTTGATTTCTCTCTGCAGCTTCACCCTGTAACGTGTGATATTTACAACAATATTGTCACTGCATGCATGAAGATAAATGAGAGGAACTGTCATGTCAGTAAAGAAAAATAAATGAGTCTGTATTGAAAACATCAAAATTACCCTACCATAAACTGACCAAAGATGAAGGCAGTTCACCTTTAGTGTTGACAGATGGGATGATTTTGTCTGAATGATGTCCATATGCCTTTAAAACTGAGAACAGTATTACACTATTCGCTGCTGCTGAGTGTCACTGTTGAGCTGCTGTCTGTGCCATCAGACCAGATTCATGAAGCATCCTTTTTTTCTTCTAATATTTTTCAAATTTTTAATTTAAGAAGAAAAAAAAAGTATGAATATTTCATAATCCCAAAGGCTTCTTAAGAATGCTATTTTCTACAGAATGTTATCAAGGAAGAAAGAAAGAGAAAGACAAAAGGAAAATGGGATAATTCACTCAAAAATGAAGTCTTTTTTAAAAAAGATATTATAAAAGGACATTTTGAGACTGTTTCAGTTGTTGTTGTTGTTTTGGTCCATACAATAGAAGTCAATGTTCATTTTACAAACTGAATTACACAGTAATATTACATAGAAAGAAACCACTAGTTTATGCTTCTCGGAGGAATCAATATATAAATTACTTTAAGTTATCTCTGCACATTAAGCTATTTAACTATATTAACTACATTATTTTAAAATAAGAAAAAACACTCCATCTTAAAGGTCAGCCTTTTTTTATTTTAATTTATATAAAATAAAAAAAATGTTTAGACTAACTTTTTTTTTTTTTTGATTTTTAGATAATTAAATCAATTCATTAACATCTCACACAATCAAGATCTTACACGCTCACTGGTTTTGCGTTGTCTTCCCTCCCTTCCCTGCTATGAAAATGTAAGAAAATGCCAATATTTCCACCACCGTCTCATGGATGCTTTGATTTTCAAGTCAAGCATATAAAATAACAGCTTAAGGCCTAAATATAGTGGGGATTCAACAAAGTGTAAACCAAAAGGCCTGAAGAATGAAGACAAAAGGTCGAAGTACAATATAGATTTGGTCCATCATTCAAAATACACGATAAGAAATCTCTTTTATCAACTGGGGGGGAAAGTACAAAAAAATTAAAATAATCAAACCTTCAGCT